GCGTAAGTCCCTAATCAGGGCCTGGAGAGCCCCGTCGATAAGCATTTACACAACTGGGAGATTATGATAGTTAATGAAAAATTAATGCGAAATGAATTGCAAAAAAAACAGAATAAAAGCTGAACAATTAGCGAACGTAACATGGTGTTCTAACACAGAGAACTTGTGGCCATTTACAGGGATTCCCAACAGGCTACCACACAGGGCCGGCTGCCTTGAGAGAGAAGAAATGGTAATGAATATAGGAAACATGAGTCTAAATTCTAAAATCCAGAATCCGGAATGGGAGCAGCACAAAAAGATACAAAAAAAGTCATCATTGTAGCCAGCTGCTATGTAAGCGGTGCTCTCTATGTCATTTTATTTGACGCCAGTTTCCTTCAGTCACGATTATCCAGGTTATTGTGTGACTTCCTTCTGTCTGTTTACTGCACGATCTGATGTGATTATAGGGAATGTAAGTGTAAATTAAGACATGACGGTATTCAGACAGACCTTGGAAGCAAGCCATGGCTGCATTCTCATTTTAAGTAAGCAAAGGTAATTTATCTTCCTTTTACATACTTGCCAACATATGAGGCAGGACAAGAGGGGAATGGATGGTGCAGTAATAGTAATTGGATGTGTTAAAAACGATTGACCCATTTTATGTGTTAACGAAACATGTCTTCTTGTAGTTAAATGACAGGTTATCTCTAGTGGGGTTTTATTTTCCCTTTAAATATCTTGTGATAATTTCTCTTTCATTAGAGAAGGAACACAGCAACACCAGGCACGAAGACATCCAGTGTCTTCAATCCCCAAAATCCCCTACAGGGAAGGCCGAATGAGCTTGCGGTGCTCTCCGCGCACGCCATTAGGTTCGCCATTGACGCTGATGTTGGAGGAGGAGACAGTGCCCGGCCCGAGGGACCTCAGCACTGGAATAAGGTGAGTGTTTAAAGTGTTTTTTACCCTTATTTGCCATGAGGGTATGGGGATCAGGTGCAAGGAAGCGGGGGCAGAGGCACACTAGAATGTTAGGAATGCAGCTTCGTATTCATTAAACTTTCATGTTCTTTTAAAGGCACACTCAACTGCCTTAATAATTTTGAATGTGTTTTTAAATCACTATACCCCCAATGGTAGCATGCGTTTAATTATGCATTTTTTTTGTCATTGAAATATATCTAAAAACAGATGATTGAGGATCTACTATCTAAAGCATTTACAAGGCCTCCCATTCTTCCCCTGCCCAATTTTCTAATCACAGACTTGGGGAATCGTTTTCGGATTAAAAAGTTTTCATCCAAATTTTCAGCAATTTATCCATTCTTCTGAAAGACGAACGGAAAGTTCAAATTACAACGAATGAAACAAATTAAGAATTGCTTTCGGGGAGAAATTTCAATATGCAATTAATTTGTTGGTTTAGTTAGTTACAAGGAGGGAGCTACCAGCTTGGGGTTCCCGCCTTGTAATTTTTAAAAATAGATAAATTCTCCCATGCCCCCCTTGCCCTAATTTTTAGGCCTATGGGGGTCAATATAAGGTTAATTCTTCCCTATGTGTCGTCTAGTTCTTGGGAAGGAAGGCTCTTTATAACGCTACCGGGATTATTGTATGCTGTACTTGTTCTTCCTGGATTTATTATATGCCGTTCCTGTCTACCAGCGGAGATACTGTGGATTATACTACCTCTCCGCTACAATCATCCTACAAATCGAGTTTCTAGACCTGGAAGTGTATATTAAAAATGGGAAGATCCAAACAAAAACTTTTGAGAAAGTTCATCATTTGCGGCCCCGGCCCGCGCGGCAAATGGTGCCCACTGGGTGGCCCATGCTGTCATGGCCACCCTATGGAGATGAATTGTCAGGGGGCCAGGTCAGCGCTGGGCGCTTTAACAGGCCCCCTGTGATGATGCACGTCACTCCTCTCAGCTAACACACAGAGCCCGCGCCGGAGGAAGAACAGGGAGTCAGAGTGGGAACTCTGACTCCCATCAACCTGAGCTACCACTGGACCCGAGGGAAAGTCACCCTCCTGCATCTAAAAGGTAGGAAACAGGAGGGTGACTTAAATATTATGTGTGTGTTTGTTTGTTTGTTTGTATGTATGTGTTTGTGTCTGTCTATATGTATGTATGCCTGTCTGTTTGTATGTATGTGTCTTTGTGTATCTGTCTGTCTGTCTGTATGTGTCTGTATGTGTGTGTCTTTGTATGTGTGTGTCTTTGTATGTGTGTATCTGTCTGTATGTGTCTGAGTCTGTCTGTATGTATGTATGTATGTATGTGTGCCTGTCTGTTCTTATATATGTATGTGTCTTTGTATGTGTGTGTGTGTGTGTGTGTGTGTCTGTATGTATGTGTGTGTGTGTCTGTATGTATGTGTGTGTGTGTCTGTATGTATGTGTGCCTGTCTGTATTTATGTGTGCCTGTCTGTTTGTATGTATGTGTGTCTTGTCTGTATGTATCTGTCTGTGTGTGTCTCTGTATATATGTGTGTGTCTCTGTATGTATGTATGTATGTATGTGTGTGTGTGTGTGAGTCTGTTGGGGGAGTGAGAGGGGGGTAAGAGGGAGGGTGGGGTCATGGATCAGTTTCGCACCGGGGCCCCATGGGTTATGTGTACGCCACTGATCACAAACGTAGTTGGCTTGGAAACATTCCATACGGCAATTCAGAAGAATAGGAAGAAATTGCTCAGAATTGGAAACATGTCAGATCCAGCTGTTTGAGCAAATTGAGAAAGCTGCAAATCTGGGTAACACTTTAATTATTGGAGATTTTAATTACCCGGACATAAATTGGGACAGAGGGACTAGTAGCTCAGCTAAGGGAATTAGGTTTTTAAACTTGTTAAATGACACCTTCATGTCACAACTTGTACAAGCACCAACTAGAATGGACGCTTGTCTGGACCTGGTCCTAACAAACAACGTTGATCTTTTGACCAACATTCAAGTAGGTGAGCACTCGGGAAATAGTGATCACAATATAGTGTCCTTTGAAATAAACTCAAAAAAACAAAAGCACATGGGGAATACTAAAACATATAATTTTAAAAAGGCCAATTTCAATAAATTAAGGGAAGCTTTACAATATATTGACTGGCATAAACTCTTTAGTGAAAAGAACACTGAGGATAAATGGATCATCTTCCAATAAATATTAAAAAGGTACATTTCTCAGTATGTACCATTGGGAAATAAATATAAAAGAAACAAATTAAAACCAATGTGGCTTAGTAGAGAAGTAAAACAAGAGATTAAAAATAAGAAAAGGGCATTTAAAGCATTTAAATCGGACAAATCATATGCATCTTATAAAAGATATAAGGAAGCAAATAATGCGTGCAAAAAGGCAATTAGATTTGCTAAACAAAATGAAAAAATGATAGCTAAAGAGAGCAAAACCAACCCCAAAGCATTTTTTAAGTACATAAATTCTAAAAAACCCAAAAATGAAAGTGTAGGTACACTAAAAACTGAAACAGGTGTGTTAGTTAATGAAGACCAGGAAAAGGCAGGAATTTTAAATAACTATTTCTCCTCCGTATATATTAAGGAAGAACCCATGGCAATAGATGTGCAAATGATTGCTACTAAAAACTTTCAGAATAATTGTAATTGGTTAACTCAAGACAAGGTGCTACAGCAACTAAAGAAAGTTAATATAAACAAAGCTCCAGGGCCTGACGGTATCCATCCACGAGTACTTAAGGAACTAAGTGTAGAAATAAGTGAACCTCTCTTTTTAATCTTTCAAGATTCTTTTCTTTCAGGAAGTGTTCCGGAGGATTGGAGGAAGGCAGATGTGGTTCCTATATTCAAAATTAAAAAAAAAAAAGGGTTCAAAATCCTTGCCTGGAAATTATAGATCTGTGAGCTTAACTTCTGTGGCTGGGAAAATATTTGAAAGGTTATTAAGGGATAAATGGCAGATGAAATTTAATGTTGAAAAATGCAAAGTTATGCACTTCGGCATAAAGAATACACAAGCAATGTATACCCTTAATGGAAGCGAATTAGGGATAACAACACATGAAAAAGACTTGGGAATTGTTATAGACAACAAACTATGCAACAATGTGCAATGTCAATCAGCAGTGGCCAAGGCCAGTAAGGTATTGTCATGCATGAAAAAGGGCATTAATTCTCGGGACAAGAATATAATTTTGCCTCTTTATAAATCACTGGTAAGACCCCATATTGAATATGCTGTGCAATTTTGGGCACCTGTTCTAAACAAGGATATTATGCCACTGGAAAAAGTGCAGAGGCGGGCTACAAAATTAATAAAAGAAATGGAACATATCAGCTATGAAGAAAGGTTAACAAATTTAAACCTATTTAGTTTAGAAAAATGTCGCCTGAGAGGGGATATGATAACATTATACAAATATATTCGGGGCCAATACAAACCATTGTTTGGAAATCTATTCACAAACCGGACTTTACATAGGACACGAGGCCATGCGTTCAGACTGGAAGAAACAAGATTTCGTCTAAGGCAAAGGAAAGGTTTTTTTACTGTAAGAACAATCAGGATGGGGAATTCTCTGCCTGAAGAAGTGGTTTTATCAGAGTCCATACCGATGTTCAAACGGCTACTAGATGAATTCTTGCAAAAACAGAATATTCAAGGATATAATCTTTCAATGTAGGGTAATAACTGCTTGATCCAAGGATAAATCTGGCTGCCATTCTGGGGTCAAGAAGGGATTTTTTTTCCTAGCTTGATGCAAAATTGTGCTTCAAAGGTTTTTTTTGCCTTCTTTTGGATCAACAGCAAAAAACAAATGTGAGGAAGGCTGGACTTGATGGACGCAAGTCTCTTTTCAGCTATGTAACTATGTAACTATTCCTAGAGAAGAAACCCTCCGCAACAACGGAACACAATTAGAGGAATACAAGCGAGCCCTTGCATTTATAACAAAATTTAGCAATCAATCTCAGAATATAAGGAAAGTGTTAGCCAAACATTGGGATATACGGAGAAGTGACCATACACTGAATCAGCTTTTAGATGACCAACCCACTATCATCTTTTCCCAAGCACCTAACCTAAAACTTATGTTGGCACCTACTGACAATTCCAAAACCCATCTCCACGACACTGAATTAACACCAATCAGAGGCTTCACACAGTGCAGAAAATGCATAGGATGCAGAAACAATCTGAACCTGGACCATGATAATGATACATTTTTCTCCCTGGATAAACAGAAAGAATACAAAGTGAAATCCAACATGGACTGTAACACAAAAGGAGTAATTTATCTACTCACATGCCCTTGTCCAAAGCAATATGTGGGAAGAACAAAAAAGTATCCCTTTAAGTGTGGTGGAGTGTCCCTTTAAATAGTTTGACAGATTATACTAGAATGATACTTCTGGCACCATAACCCCTACAGTAGGTTTAGAGTGTTCCTTTAGGATGTTTATCCTGTCTACATAAATTAGCAATAATTGCTTAGTTTATCCACTACTCAAGTAATGCTTGAGAATTGAAAATACCACATTTTAGGCCAAAGTAGTTGAGCTAGAAAAATTATTTTGTTGGAGGTTTTATACTCCTCAGCTGTTTTGGCCTAGAATGTCCAATTTACGTGTCATTTGCCCACAATTTCCAGTTTGAGGAATAATAATTAGATTTTTCTTTTTATAAATATATAGCTGGAGGTTTGATTTCATGTTAGTCTATGAGATGTTAACTTGGAATTAATATGGAATATGTAAAATCAAGTATTTCTAATTTAAGATAATTAAATCCACCATCATCCAAACAGCCGAGAGGTACAGGGGCAACTTTTCAGTGATATCAACCTCAATTTAATATTATTGATAAACTTTTCAAATCATTTAATATTTTTGATATATTTTTTAAATGATTTTTCCAGCCAAAATATTAATATATCGACAATATATCACATATAAAACATATACCAAATTATTAACATATTTATTTCAAAATATGGAATCATTTTAATAGTTTATACAAAAATATTAAATAATTTGAAAAGCTTATACAAAAATATCAGCTCAGAGCCATCATCATTTATTCCAACAGTGTGAATCTACTTAGCGTTACATCATCTGCAAACAGAATGAATTTTGGTAGCAGGCATCGAGGAACCTAACAGCAAAGAATCTATATATTTTAAATTCTGTGCTTAACGCAGACAATGATTCTTTAGAATTTTCACACGGGTACTAATCGCCAATGTAAAATCAAAAACTGTTGAGTAAAAGGGAAGTTGCACTAAAAAGCATTCATTCATGAGTGCTGTTTAGTGCGCCTGCCCCTTTTCCTTTACCATTACATCACCTTGCCTGAGTGATTATCCGATCTAATCTCCCTCTTGGCTGCACTAGACAAGCGGGTTAATGGATTTCTGCATTTTGAAACCGTTTCAATTAGTATGTTACAGTCAATCGGATGACTTCATCGATACAAAAGGGCCTGGTTTTCCTGGTATAGGAAATCTTAAAGCACCTGGCATTGCAAATTGATGTGATTGACACTTTAAAGAGAAGAAAATTCAATGACAAAATTGTGGGACCTCAATTCCTAGCCCATGCATAGATTGTATTTACTTCTGACAATTTACAGTAGAATTTACAGTACATTCCTATTGTGGAACGTAGTGCAAATCATTTAGAGAATAGAGGCATAGAGGCCAGTGTGGTGGACGCCTTGGTGCTGGGGAAAGTCATATTCTCTTAAAATTAAGCAAAAAAAGAGATGCTGAAATTTGGAAGCCTATCTTTCATGGTTCACACACATTTGTGTTATAAAAACGTATATTCATACTGTATATTCTCCTGCTCTCTGTCACAGCAACTACAGCTGTAGATAGGAGTGTGGCGTAGATGTTACATTGCTACAATACCTTGGACCCTTTTTTTTCTTTAAATTTCATCAGTGATTTTATCAACTTTTTTGGCTCCTATCAGGTTCAGCCTTCATGAAGAGGTGCACAAGGGCTGTAGGAATTCAGGGCAATTAATGTATTCCAAAGCGTGGCTGAAAATGCTCAATCCAATATAGTTATGTACAAGTGTTTTTGATCTCATCGCAATGAATGATGACAATTAATATGAGATCATAAGCTTTAATAACTAATGCCCTTAAAATAAAATGACTTCTAAAATCACTTTCAAAAGTATATGACCTATCCCTGAACCTACAATACACATTGTAAGAGTTATATTATTTCTCAAGCTCTCTCTGAGAGTGATTTATCTTGAAATGGCCCAGTAAATTAGATCAATAAACCTAAAAAACAGATGCTTGTTGTGAATACCTCCAAACTATTTGGTTAACAAACTGGAAAATAAAATACGCCTTAATTACTGTCAATTTCAGGGTATTTTGATGAGTACCAACAAGATTTAACACATCATTTCCAAGACGCAGTTCACTTCATAGGTCTTTCATGTCACCTCTATTGGGTTACTGTTCCATGTATCAACTACACACAAAACATTGATCAACAATATTTTTTGAAACAATGTATTCAAGTGACATTGGTAAGATGTTTAAAATAGACATTGAACCATTGGTTCGTTGGTGATGCAGAGTAGCTAGCCATGGGAAATTATATTTAAATGCATAAGAATATGTGATATAGGTTATTATGGGTTCAGTTAAAATTTCAATTTTTGTTCGGTTTAACAGCAAAAACAGAAAATATGACAATGGACAAAAGCTTAGAGAAATCCGATAACTTGCCTTTTGGTAAATCCCCACTCAGGGCGCAAAATAGTTTTTGCTAATTTATTCCATTACAGAGTGAACCTATACCATTGCACATCAAATTGATCCCACCAATCAGGGCTGTCCAGAACCAAAACGCCAGCAAGTTCTCTCCGCAAGAGACCTGAACATCTTTGTGCCTTGTTAGCGAGGTGTAGCTGACACCCCTCTAGGCACAGTGAGTCTGTATATGTGTATATATAAATGATATAGTATTAGGCAAGCCCTAACCAAACAAGATAAAAATGCTTGTTAAAAAATGCATGAATCAAGCATGAATCAAATCTGTAGTACCTTTGCCACTGTAAAACAATGTATGCATGGTCATTGGTTGCTAATTCCCGGATCCCCAAAATAGTTCAGTGGATCACCAATGGTAAGAAAGGTACATCCCACACCCCCTCCCTTTCGTAACTGTCTGTAGTATATGGTTTACTATAACAACAATACTGTAGCCCATGGATCAGCGCAGCTAAGAGGAATAGGCCTTGACAGAGCCAGGAGGTAGGCATAGCAGCCACAGGAATTTAGTGACAGCTAGCATGCTGGGTAGGGCGGAGCCATAAGGGGAGTATTTATACCAGCCATTATGTGAAGTGGCCATTTTAACTGAACCTAAGCTTACCTGTCAGTTGTCCCTCCCACCCTCCCTGTATTTGGTTAGGTTAGTTGATTTCCCGTTTTTTCACAGCGGCGGGGAATGGCCTGGTTAAATCGGAGGGTAGATGGAGGAGAAAGTGGGCATCCTGAGGTTTAGTGTGGATTGGGCAGTGTTGCACGTGGTTGGTAGGTTCGAGCCCGTCGGTGGCTCCGAACCTGGGGGTGTGGTGGTGTCTTGGTACACCCTACACTGGAACTGGTGGGTAGCGGTGTCTTGGTACACCCCTACAATGGATATGGTGGGTAGCGGTGTCTTGGTACACCCCTACAATGGATATGGTGGGTAGCGGTGTCTTGGTACACCCCTACAATGGATATGGTGGGTAGCGGTGTCTCGGTACACCCCTACAATTTAACCTGGTGGAAATGTGGTCAAATTGGACGGCCAGTTTCTGTGTTAACATGTTATTTATATTGTTATCTATTGTTATTATTGTGGGGTCATTGCTAGGGGTATGTTATGTATATGGGGAGGTTAACATTATTAAGATTTGTTGGCAATGACCCCATTTGTTATTCCTTAATTATTTATTAATAATTTAATAAAGCTGTGGACAAATTATTTCCAACAGTATAACCTGTGTCCGTGTTTTAATGGGGGTTGGGGTAAGGTTAGCGCATATGCCGGCAAATCCGACTGTGCACCTGTCATGGCATCCCAAGGGCAGCAGAGACTGTCTGACACCTATAATAGTCCGATGATGGTGTTTTGCAGAATTCTCTTATATAATGTATAGCAGCTGAAGAATGAGTGACTGAATTAAATGTAAAGTTAAAGGATCACTATAGGGTCAGGAACACAATCATGTATTCCTGACCCATCTAGCCCCCCTGGGCCCCTCATGCCTCCATAAATATAGCAAAATCTTACTGTATTCAAGCCTGAAGCTGTAACTCTGCATGCTGTTTGTCTCAGAAAAACAAGCAGTCTGCTGACATCATCAGAAGTGGTAGCCTGATCCAATCACAGTGCTTCTCCATAGGATTGGCTGAGACTGACAAGGAGGCAGATCAAGGGCAGAGCCAGCACAATTCAAACACAGCCCTGGCCAATCAGCATCTCCTCATAGAGATGAATTGAATCAATGAATCTCTTTGAGGAAAGTGCCGTGTTTGCATGCAGAGGGAGGAGACACTGAATGTTTGGATGCATTTTAAGCAGCCATGACCCAGGAAGGATCTCTAACAGACATGTAAGGAGTGGCCAGTGAAGTTATCACTAGGCTGTAATGTAAACACTGCATTTTCTCTGAAAAGACCGTGTTTACAGCAAAAATCCTAAAGGGAATGATTCTACTCACCAGAACAAATACAATAAGCTGTAGTTGTTCTGGTGACTGTAGTGTCCCTTTAAGAAATAGATTTCCAAGATGAAGCCAGTGTTTTATTTTTTATCAGGGTACCTGTCATAATAAAACTCTGGAAGACTCTGTACTTGATAAAGAAATACTACAGGTGGTCCTCATTTTACAACCTACCTGCTTTATGACTGCTCTGACTTACTACCAGCTCTCTAGCGTGTGGATTCAAGGGAATTTCCCCTGAACATAGATTCACAAGATTCCTGCGCTAGTGAGCTAATCTATGTTCGGCGAATGTTTAGAGCTCTGTGGTCACTTTTCTATGGCCACCCCCATTCAGCCAGCTCAGTCAGGACATGCACTTTACATACACACAAGGCTATCCTATATATTGTTTTAAATGAAAAATGAAAATCTGGTGATTGATGTCTTTAACCCCTTTAGGACCAAACATCTGGAATAAAGGGGAATCATGACAAATCACACATGTCATGTGTCCTTAAGGGGTTAAAGGCCAGTCCAGATTAA